TTTTTAAATTCTTTAAAAAAGGACTCAAAATTGTTGAAGTTTTATTTTTTTTAGAAGTTGAATCAAGTCCATTTCCCTCATTAAAATTCTGAATATCACCCTCTTCCCCAAAAGCAAGTGGTACTTTTCCATGCAGCTTCTGCCAGTGTCCTTAAGCTTGTTGACATCAAGCTGGTCTAACATGCTGGGTGGCATTTCTGTCAGCTCCTTTGTCAAAATGTGGCTGATAATGGGGAAAGTGTTTGCTGCCACAGATGTCTGAGCGTTAGGATTGTTAAAGTGGGTCACCATTCCCTAGTTTGCACACACACTACTCCTAGTTTCTCTAAGGAGAACTATAGATTTTTTTATCATCTGTTATAAGAGATATTTGTTTTATCATCTGTTACTCTATATATCATCTCAGGGCAACTCCTTGTTACCAACCACAATTACGCCTGAAGTTCGGCAAGTTTCTCTTGGCACTCAAATAGTCAGGCAGGCCGGATGAAGGCCCAGTCTCTGATTTTACAAAGAATACTTCCAACAGTCAACTAACTATTCAAAATATTCAATTTTTTAAAAGTAAGATTTAAAAGGTTCTTTCCTATTTCTAAATTATTAATCATTTTTAAAGAATCATGAATAGGTACTGAGTTTTATAAAATTCTCTATTGAGGTTTTTCCCTTTTAATCTGTTAATGTACTTGGCTACACACACGGGTTTTCTGATATGAAACCATTCTAGCATACATGGGATAAATCCAACTTGGACATGTTGTATTATCATTTTTGTACATGATTACATTTCATCTGTTAATACTGAGAATTTATATATATATCCTTGAGTGAAATGGAACTTTAATTTCTTGTATTTTTTGTGTTTATTTTATTGATTATGCTATTACAGTTGTCCCATGTCTTTTCTCCTTTATCTCCCTCCACCCTGCACCACCCCTCCCTCCAGCATTCCCCCCCTTAGTTCATGTCCATGGGTCATACATATAAGTTCTTTGGCTTCTCCATTTCCTATACTATTCTTAACCTCCTCCTGTCTATTTGGGACCTACTATTTATGCCTCTTACTCCTTGTACATTCCCCCCCTGCCCCCACCAATAACTCTCCATGTGATCTCCATTTCTGTAATTCTGTTCCTCTTCTAGTTTGCTTAATTTGTTCTTATATTTTAGGTTCAGATGTTGATAGTTGTGAGTTTGTTGTCATTTTACTGATTATAGTTTTGATCATCTTCTTTCCTTAGATAAGTCCCTTTAACATTTCATATAATAAGGGCCTGGTGATGATGAACTCTTTTAACTTGACCTTGTCTGGGAAGCACTTTATCTGCCCTTCCATTCTAAATGAGAGCTTTGCTGGATAGAGTAATCTTGGATGTAAGTCCCTGCTTTTCATGATTTTGAATATTTTTTTACAGCCCCTTCTTGCTTGCAAGATTTCTTTTGAGGAATCAGCTGATAGTCTTAAGGGAACTCCTTTGTAGATAACTGACTCCTATTCTCTTGCTGCTTTAAGATTCTCTCTTCATCTTTAATCTTGTGTAACGTAATTATGTAATGCCTGGTATGCGTGTTCCTCCTTGGTCCAACTTCTTTGGGACTCCCTGAGCTTCCTGGACTTCCTGGAAGTCTATTTCTTTTGCCAGATAGGGAAGTTCTCCTTCATTATTTTTTCAAATAAGTTTTCAATTTCTTGCTCTTCCTCTTCTCCTTCTGGCACTCCTATGATTTGGATGTTGAAATGTTTAAAGTTGTCCCAGAGGTTCCCAAGACTCTCCTCATTTTTTAGAATTCTTGCTTCTTCATTCTGCTCTGGTCGAATGCTTATTTCTTCTTTCTGCTCCAAATCATTGATCTGAGTCCTGGTTTCCTTTCCCTCACTCTTTGTTCCCTGTATACTTTTCTTTATTTCACTTTGTAGAGCCTTCACTTCTTCCTTTATTTTGCAACTGTAGTCAACCATTTCTGTGAGCATCCTGATTATCAGTGTTTTGGACTCTGCATCTGATAGGTTGGCCATCTCCTCATCGCTTAGTTCTTTTTCTGGAGTTTGATCTGTTCTTTCATTTGGACCATTTTTCTTTGTCTTGGCATACCTGTTACGTTGTAAGGGGTGGAGCCTTAGGTATTTGCCAGGGCGGGGCAAACTACTTCACTGAGTTGCGGCACTGTATGTTGGGGTGGGCTCAGAGAGGGAACAATGCCACTTGCTTGGCTCTCGCCCTGCTTTTGGTCACTTCCCCTGCTACCCACAAGTGATTTGGTCCCTTCTGGTGCTGATTCCTGGGTGGGTTTGTGTATGTTCTAGGAACCAGTGGGTCTCTCCAATGATCTTTCCTGTGATTCTCAGAGTTCCTCCCTCTGCCACAACCCCCACACATATTTATAGCCAGAGGTTTTGAGGCTTTATTTCCCCATGCTGGAAGTCTAGTTTGCGCTGTCTGTCTCACTCCACAGTTGTTCCTCCCGGTTTATCTGCACATGAATGTGGGCCTGCCTGGTTTGCCAGCTACCACCTCACAGTGCATCCTCTCTACCCCAGCTGCCCACTTTTGCCCCTCCTACTGGTCTGGATGAATGTTTCTTCTTAACTCCCTGGTTATCAGACTTCCTACGGTTTGATTTTCAGGCAGTTCTGATTGTTTTTTGTTTTTAAATTTGTTGTCCTTCTTTTGGTTGTGCAAGGAGGCAAAGTGTATCTACCTACGCCTCCATCTTGGCTGGAAGTTTTAATTTCCTATAATATTTTTTGATACCTGGGTCATGCTGGCCTCAAAGAACGAGTAAAAAGGAATTCAATTTGGCCTTAATGAACAAAATGGAATTACAAACAGCTTCTGGGAACTCAATCTACATGTATCTTGAAGAATTCCAGAATTAAATACAACTCTGATTTACCTTAGTCGTCATATTTTAACATATAGATCCTTAACATTTTCAGTAAGTTCGTTAAATGATACTGAGAAGGATGACAAACTGACCATGCTTTGAGAAACACCATGCTGGAAAGGGAGAGCTCCTGGCTTCCGTCTGCTCTCAGAGCAACTCTTTTAGAGCTGAAGAGGCTAAATGCCCTTGCTTCCCCCTGGTAGCTCTTAAGTAAGATGACCATAGTTTGCCCAGGACACTCCTTTACGCCTGTTGTTATGGCATAATTAGCAATCACTCTCCTTTTCACTTTAAAAAAGATCCCAATATGGATATGTTTTAGCTCTCCAGTTTGAAGACTTCAAGTTACAGTTGCTTTTCTTTTATTATGGTAGGATAGGCCTGAAAGTCATAGGCTTGGATGACCTCTTCTTCCCCATTTCACTCTCTTCTCCCAGTTCTTAAGGCCAAGTAAAAACCAGTGTTTGAGAAGGAATGGGATGAGGAAAAATGTATGCCCAAGGCAGAGCTAAATATCCTTGCATTTCATGTTATTCAGATTAGTTTACCAATTGCAGAATCCACAGAGGAATTTAGGCAGAAGTCCTAGCTATTAATATTAAAAAAAAAAATTTTCCTGTAAAAGTTCATTATTGGCATGGTGATCTGGTAAGAATTCTGGAGTTTGGACAACAGGGTGAAAAAATTTTCCTAAGTATCACAACTAAAACATAATTTAAAAAATTGAATTTTTGGTTCTATTTATCCAAATGGAAATGTGCGAATTCATGATTCAAGGTTTCAATGGAAGTCTTGAAGACAAGTTATCTACCTTCACTTCCACCAAAGTTCATTATAAGCCTTTCAGAAGTACAATTTACATATAAAAATCATGCTTAAATATTCTATCCTACCCTTGAGTAACAATATAAAACAGGTATTCAACATGTTATTTCAAAGAATTCCATGGAAATGAAAAAGCCTTTTAAGTTTTCATGTTAACAATATGAAAATAAGATACACTAGTAGTATATTGGATTAAAAAAATCTTAAAATTTCACTCACACATGACACAATAAATTTCTGGAACAAACCTGAACAGTTAAAGGCATTTAAAACACCAGTAGAGGAGGGTAACAGGGGCAAGAAGGGGAGGGGCACGCGAAGGAACACAAATGGAGGACTCACGGGCATGGACAATACGGGGGGGGGGGGGGGGATTGTCTGTGGGAGTGAGGCAGAGGTGAGTAATGAGGAAAAAGGTGGGACAACTCTAACTGAACAACAATAGATATTAACAAACATTGATTTTAACATAAAAAATTAAAAAAATAAAACACAGGTAGATATCTCCTATTTCTACATTATCTAGGCTTGAAAACCCTCTCCTCAGTTCCAACACTCCTACAATAATCATCAGTTGTTTTTTTTTTTGTAATTACTTCATTACTTTTTCTTCTTTTATAATTCTATTATACCAGCAATTTTTGGCCTTTTTCATCCCATGGCACACATAAACTAATCACTAAAGTTGTGTAGCACACCAAAGAATATATTTTTTGCTTATCTGAAAAAAAAAAAAAAGAAAAGAAATAGGTGTAATATTGATTCATTCACACCAGAAGGCTATTTTTGTGTTGGCTGTTGTCACTCTTTTTTTATTTGACAATCTAAGGGAAAAGAGGTCAGTGTCCCCAACTAAATAGTCAGGTATTGCACGTTTTAAAAATTCTTGTGGCACACTGATAGAAAATTGCTGTTCTAGCCCCTCATGTGCACACTGAGCTATCGGTGCTTGGGACCACATTATTCTCTCACAGGGCCTGAACATAGCAGGTATCAAAAATATCTACTGTATTAATGACTTAAAGGCTTTAGGTTTTTCTTGTACCTAGCTGTACATTACTGAAATGGCATGGTGTTCCCAAAGAGATTTCTTTACTAATTCCTTTATAGTAGTAAGATGACATTAATTGTTCAAAGATTCAGCCATGATAAAATAAGGCAATTCAGAACAATTAAATCAGACATTTTCCCCTTTTCTTCAGCAAAAGAGTAGCAAGTGGTGGTTATATCCAACAGTTGATTAAAGAAATAAAAGTACTCTTAATTTTACCAAGAATTGTATTACTAACCTGTTGAGGAGTAATGGTATCTCTATAGCTTGGTAAAATTTTCAGGGTGACACTTCCACTAATATTTTTCAGTAATTCTTGTAACTCCTTTGGATTGTTTCCAACCTCATGGCCATTGACTTCTTTTATGATATCGCCCACATGAAGGAGACCCTGTCGATCTATCATGCCTCCATGAAGGATTCGGGCAATTACCAGGTCATTATTTTCAACCCTAAATGTTACACCCTAAAGGAAATAAGGAATGGAATTATCATTGATTTTAGATTAAAAAAACAAACAAACTTAAAAACTCATGAATATGTGTATATAAGAAAATAATTCTAAAATTAGATGCGAGTCATTCCTACTTTTCCTATGCTCTCTCCTGTGTCAATATTCTAATCTCCTTGAACCATGTGCACCTGTAACAAGAAATACCACCCTTACAAAAGGACTTCCATGGGAAGGTGAATGTGAAGAAATGAAGCATATATTAGGCTGCATTTCTCAAAGGAATAAGAAAGAGTAGTTGTACATTGTGATGGTCTTGTCCCTGGCTTTTCTTTTTTCTATTTCACTGTTTTTATAGTCAGGATCCAGAAATAATAATTTTAGTAAGAAAATTGTAAAGGTCACTTCTTATAGAGCCCTACCATGTTTTGTATTTTAATAACTTTCTTCTGTGTCTTGATACTATCATTAGCAAGCAACCTGAGATACTTCAAAGGATATACGGGAAAAAAGTACAGTATTTATTTACTGAAGTTTTTGCTACCCATTAGAAAACTTCTTGTCTCTATTTCAGTTTAACTTTTATCTTTGTTTAATTTTGTATGCTAAATCAAGTTGAGAGAGCATCAAGTGTCTATTTTATACAGAGGCCACAAAAGACATAAAACACACGCATATTAAGTTTCATTATGATACACGTTATGACAGAAAAAAATGAGATACAGTGACTGAGCTGCAAGTATGTCAGATTTCGGATATAAGAAGGCACTGATTTATCTACTCACCAATGGTTCCCCAGCTCTTTTGTGAATACCAAGAATACGAATGGCATCTACTGGTAATAACTGATTATTGACAGAATTATTCATTTCTGGGCTTGATGGAGGTGAATCATAACACTTTGACGCCACAATATCATGGGCCTCCAAGAGTGACTGTAGGGGATTCAAAATAGCCTGTAGTTATTAATTACTGAGGGAAAAAGTTATTAAAGATAACTTAGTTCATTATCCCAGCGGAGTGCTAAAAATTTCAAGGCACACATTAGTGAATCCCCAAATTTGAATCAAATCAAAGGTATACAGAATCTTTTTAAGAAAAATAAACATATTTTAAACATCAAACAATATCATATTCCTTGTTTTAAGAAATCTGAAGGGAGTTTTGTGACTTGTAAAAAGTGACATGTTCGACAGAAAATGAACCTGGATTTTCAGGTGTGGTACAGTGGAGGCCCTGGAGTTCACCGCCACTGTTGTCCTCACCATCAGCTCCATTCAATATTTATCATCAATATCTATTAATTAGTTATAATACAAACTCAACTGACAGGAATCCTAATTTTTACCCTAAAATATTACATTAACAATACCAAATATTTTTTACATGTATGAGATGTCTGCTAAAAGATGTCCAATAGGAGGGAGAAAAATATCAGAAAAATATCAGAGATAGGAAATTTTATATTAGAAATGAAGGTTGTAATCTACAAAATATACATTTTTAAGGGAGACAAAATGAGCCAGTGATGGTCCTGACTATACTTTTAACTTCTACATATTCTATACATGTGCTATTTTCATGGATGACTTTGATTTAGCTTTCTAAGAATTTATTTTTTTTGTATATTTATTTTTATTTTTCATTTTATACTGTAAATGTGTACGCTCAACGTAAAGCTAAGTTTAAAATTTTTCTCAGTGGATGGAATGTGAGTTCAAAAACAATAAATCAAAATACAAAGAAGGGAGCAAATAACAGATTCAGAATAGAAGTATCAGCATATGGATTTAATTGGTAATTTCTGGTTATTTCATGAAAGTATGTTGTAAAAGACTAAAGAAAAATTTCAAGAAGAAAAAAGTTACACACTTACATATAAGGATTATTCATAAAAATGCTGGAAGACACTAAAATCTCTAATTTAGTCTTTTGTTTTCACCCTGTACTCACTTCTTAAGAAATATTATCTACTCCTAGGACTTGAACCACTACTTACACATTGATAATTCTCAATTTTATATTTTTGGTCCAGAACTTTCATGAGCTTCAAATTTATATATTAAAAATATGCCTAAAACTGAAAAATTATGATAATTTGAAAATTAAAGTGTTAAGGATTGCACAGCATTAAAACATATTGAACTAATGAAAAATCTATATGCCCAGTGTTATTTAAAAAACAAAGGACTGAAAAAAAACACACTTGTTACTATTTAAGATTGCTACTTTAAACAATTCTTTACTTTGAAAATTGGTAAAGAGAAGTATCAAACATTTCCCTGATTTTTCTGTGGGAAATGCATTATAGAGCAAACTAAACAGCCCATTTGATGAGGAAAAGCTCTATTTTATATAAGAACACCAGCTAATAAATGTAAAATGAAAGAATTTTTAAAAATGTCATTTTGGATTATGAATGTTTTTGTCAGTAGGCAAATGGTTGAAAGGGAACAGCATTGGCATAATGCTACAATAACACACTAGATTAATGCTAGAATGACATGCTAGATTACTTCTAGTGGAAAGGCTTTCAAAGGAAGAAATAGACTATCCTTGCCTTTAATCAAGAGACCAATCTCAGCATCAGTAGTGATTGGCCAACCAGGTATTATACATCTTCAGAGATCATTTAATTCATGCTGTATCACATCATTTAAGATGGATTCTAGTTCCAAATAATTAACCTGAATCATCAACCTTTTAGATAGAACTTCTGTTTACAGGAAATATAAGGAATGAATAACTAAACAAGACAGTACAGAAGCAATCAGATGCACGCAGAATATGGGACAGTCTACAGTGACCTGGTCTCTTCAAAAGGTCAACAACATAATCAAGGTGGAATGGATGCTCCAATCAGATGCTATGCATGGACCTAGGTTGCAAATCTTTATGTACAACCCAGCTATAAAGAATATTTTGGCATCAAACATAGATATTTGAATATAGTATTAGCACTACATGAGAGAGAGGTCCACTGAAATGGAAAAGTGGAAATCAATGATTGAAAAAAAGGTAAACTATAAAATGATCTCAGTAAAAAATATATATGTATATTTATGCATAAAAAAAGAAGGAGTATGCATTAAGATAGTGCAGTAATAATCTGGGTAGTAAGAATGCAATGTCTTAATTTTTGTATATTTGCTTGTTGCTATTTTCTAATTTTATTAATTAAACTTTATATAAATTTGTATTTATTAAATTTTATGTATTTATCTAAACATATATATTTATAACATGCCCAAAAGCACTACCCAGATGCTTCTGAGGTATCACAAACTTAACATGGCCAGTTATCTTAACATTAACATGTCCAAACACTTTCTCCTCGAGTGTTCCTAATCTCAAGGGATGCCATCAACTGTCAGAAATCCTATCCTTAATCAAATTCCCACATTTCTCTTCTGCAACTGTCACATGTAACCAATGACCAAGTCCTGTTAGTTTTACCGCTTAAAACTTGAAATCCTCATTTTTACACTGCCATCACAATTTCCTGCCTCAATACTTAACAACCTAGCTCCATAATCCATCCTCTTGCTGCTTAATTCCTCCTCTCATCCCTGCCCAAGTTTTCCCACTGTCCTCAGGATAAAGTCTGAATAACTTAGTGTCTTTTAAGGCCTCAATCAACTGGCTCCTGCATAAAGGGTGTCTCTGATGTGTGTCCTTTTTTTTTTTTGTATTTCATATACTGATTTATGTAGGAAACCATTTCACTATAAATCTTCAAATTTCACAGTAACACTGTTGGAGAGTCACAGACAATCTTTGAGAAAAAGCAAGGGGGTGTTGCTTCCTAAGATTTGCAGTGGAAAGCAGGTGACACTTTATTTCTCTATCCCACAAGCATTTATCCAATAGTCCATTTTTTCTCCACTAAAATGTACCATCTCTGTCATAAACCCGGTTGCCACATGTATGAGGATCTATTTTGGGGGTTGCTATTCTCATTGATCAATCTATTTTTCTAATGCTGACCCAATACCATACTGTTGTCATTACAGACTTACAAGAAATCTCCTCCACCCCCTTTCTCTTACGGAACTGGTTCTTTGTTAAAATGATTAACTCTTCATTGACATAGACCAATGCTTAAGTTGCACTTAATTTTTGTACCTACTGAAAGTATGTTATGTAATAGTTTCTATCCTTACACGGCTCTCTGTTGCTCCAAGGTCATCAACTGCAACCCAGTCTTTTTTCTTCCAGTCTTAGAAGCAATACTGAAAACGTGCATGACTGGTCACAAGGAGGTCTGGGAAACAGTGGTGGTGAGAAAGAAAGATCCGGTGTCATGGGGAAAAATGTCTCCAGCAAGTGGTCTGATGGTGAATCAGGGTTTTTTTTTCCCTAATTACACAAAGAAAAATCTACTCTGATGTATTCTGTGCCAGATATCATACATTTATGTAATGTCTCTTAGTTACGTATATGCATCCTCAGACTATTAAAATAACCATATTGAAATTTATATATTATAAAATATGGCCCTAAGTATATTTAAAAACCTCCTCTTAAACTGGAACTTAACTACTAAAGGGAAATCTTTGGGAACACAGTGGACTTGGAGAGAAGAGAGAGAGGGAAAGTTTACCTGGAAGTGAGGCTCTTTGAGTATACCAACCAGTTCTGCTACATTTTCATCCACATTGACCAGAGGAGTAATATCTTCAAGAATTTCATTGACTAATTCCAAGTTATTGTCACTGACAGCTTCTAGTTTTGAATCCTCCAGCCTCTCATGAGCCTAAAAAGACAACAGTAAAGTAATAATATGTATTGTTTTGCTCCAGACTGTGATTTTCTTCTTGATTTGTTTCTTTTTCATAAAGTTTATAAACTATATGTCTTGAAGGTTTGATTCATTGAAACCAAATTTAATAATTTAATGAGAGGCAATATATAGTTTTGCTCTTTGTCCTTGAAGGACTGCATGATTTCATGTCTCTATATCTTACACTGTTTTTTTTAAATATCATAATCTTTTTCACATAAAATGGTCTGTGAATCACACTGTCACGGAAAATGAGTAGTTCTAATTATCCTTTAATAGTAGGAGTAGAGTTCTTTAAAATTTATTGATTTTAGAGACAGGGAGAGGATGAGTGAGACATTGAGAAAGAGAGAAATAGCAATTTGTTATTCCACTTATACTTTCATTGGTTGATTCTTGTATGTGCCCTGACCAGGGATCGAACCCACAAACTTTGTGTATCAGGACAACAGTAACCAACTGAGCTACCTGGGCAGGGCCAAAGCAGAGTTTTAGATTCTAACAAGAATGAACATTAAACAGTCTTGATCTTTTAGTGTTGTTGTTTTTATTTGTTTTTTTTTTTTTTTTTTTGATAAATGGATGCTGTCTGATTTTGAAGACAGGCAAAGAAAGCATTATTATTAAGATTTAGTTTACAAATGAAAGCATGTAAGATGTCAAGTCTAATATATATTTGAAGATTCATTTCTGTAAGTGCTGAAGAAAAATCCAAATTTCAAGTGGCAATACTATCAATTAAACTTTGATACCTATAAACTTTAGATGTTATTTTTATCATACAGAGAGAATTCTTCAGAGTACAAATATATATTTTAATTTTTAAAATACAGTCTTTTAGTTTAAATGTATTTTTGGGTGAATCACAAAGTAAAACAAGTTTTTAAGAAGTGAGGGCTAATATGATAAGTAACATTTTTAAGAAACACCTCAGAAGAAGAAATTTTAAGTCACATGAAGAAAACTGATAAAGAAGGACTTGCAACTGCTTTTAAATGAAGAAAAATGTCAAAAGACCAAATGTAATTTAAACAGAAGGAAAAAGTTTCTATTAGATTTAGATATGGAAAAAAACTAAGACAACTAGAAATGCCACAAAGAATGAGAACAGGTAAATATGAAATTTTTAGAAAGCCTGGTAAGGATAGGAAAATGAGGACACTCAATAAATATCATGAAATGAATATCAACATTGGAAAAAAACTGAATATACATAATAAGCTCTTTCAAAACAAACTAGAATTACTGTTTGAATACAGATACTTGCTTTAATAAATATCTAATTTAGCATTATTAATCTTGTAATAGTCTAACGCTCTTATGATAGTATAAGAAAGCTTAAAACAAAAAGAAAAAAAGTTAACATTTATTGAGGGGTTTTTTTGTGTGTATGCATCAGGAACCATACAAGTATTCTCAGTACAACGTGAGCGCGAGTGTGTGAGTGTATGTGTGTGTGCTTTGGGCAAAGACAGGTATGTTAGTATCATCCTCACCTTACAGACATGGACACCGATGCAAAATGAGACAAAACGGTTTAAGTTTACAATACTGGTAAAAGGCAGAGTCCGGCAATCTATCATCAAGGCTTGAGCTCCCCCAACTCGTGCCCAGCAGGGGTGTCCAGCCCGTGGCCCATGGGCTGCATGGGGCCGAGGATGGCTATGATTCAGCTCAATACAAAATTGTAGATTTCCTTAAAACATTATGAGATTTTTTTTTTTTTTTGGTTTTCGTGTTTGTATATTTAATGTGTGGCCCAACACAACTCTTATTCTCCCAGTATGACCCAGAGATGCCAAAAGGCTGGACACCCTATAACTTATTTGACTCTGTCACTATACAGATGGCCACGCTAACATCACCCCGTAGTTAATTATTCAATCTAATATACAATGCATGATTTTCACTTATTTAAATGTGCAAGAGATGTTCTCTCTGACTGCTGAGTTGTTGCTTCTTAACATAGCTCTTCCACTCCAGAGATAACTGATTCTGTTCCACCACATCTATTCCCATTATTATTTCATACTCCAGTGGTTCAGAATACCACCCACCCCTTCAACCTTCACTCCTCTGCTCTGATTCAGAGCTATAACGACCATCTCTTTCTCTGGGAAACATATAATAAATGACTTTCTTTAAGGTACTATGCCAATATTCTATGTCACATGATCAGCATATAGTAATAACACTTTAGACATTGATAGACCTGGATTCAATTAAAAACTTCAAGACAAAAAGAAACAGAAATAATCACTGACTTGAGAACTGTAATACGGCACCTTTCTTTCTAAGTTCATCTACTTTATTGCTCCCAAATTGGGTGGGGACAGACAGGAATGTGGGGACACTAATGGCAAGAGATAAAGAGGAAGTCAAGTAGGAGGCAGAATTATGTGATAAAAACAAACATGCCCAAAGATATTTTCACATCAACTGAACATACTGATTCTATGTTAGGAAAGAATTTGACAATACAATACAGAAATTTTCAGAGGAAGATACAGTTTTTTAGTAAAACTGCAGATATAATTACATTAACATGGAAAACCAATTTCTGAAATATAGTTGGGTTCAGTTGAGATTGATTTTACTTTTTTCAAGAAAGCAAATGGAGGTTCATATTTTTCCATATATATCGCTTTTTAAGCTCTAAGATTTTTGTGACACAAGTTGAGTCAGGTTTACTTACTTGCTTTCAAGAGTCAAGTACCAACTGAAATTTAATCAAACCAAGGACAAAGGAAACACTGACCTGAGGGACAGGACAGATGAATCACATGCATTTGAATAAACGGGTCTTGTTTCCTTTAAAAAAAAGAGTATAGAAAGATAACATAACTCAGTAAAAGCATATTTCACCTGCCACAAGTGGTTGGAAGAACATGCTATGACTGGCTTAGCAGAGCTCCTGGAGCTAATACGATTATGGCCTAGCCTTCTGGTATGGCCAGTTCTGAGAATGTTATTCACCACTACACCTTGGAAAAATAAACTGCAGAGAAGAAAAAGTTCTCTCAGAACTTATGACTATTTGACCCAAGGGCAGTCTAACCATGCTTGCAAAGAAATTAAAAAAAAAAATAACTTAAAAAAATTTCAACAAAAGTTGTGGGCTATATCAGAAGTGACAAATACTATTCTCCATTAATGATAATACACTATTATTATGTGTAGTAATCTTGCCTTTCTCCCTTAAAAGGACCAACATATCATAAGTTTTATTTCTATATTCATAGAACATGGCTAAGTATGTAGCAGTTGCTCATTAAATATTTTTAACAGAGCTAAGTAAATTAGAAGTAAGTTTGACTGTGGTCACAAGTCATTCTCTCATTTTAGAGAATTTAGAACAAGAAAGATGAAGAGAAGTCCACAAATGGTAAAAAAATGAACAAGAATTTGAGCACAAAGTAGAAATGAGACGGAGAGAATGAAGAACTCAATTTTTATTTTACTTCTTCATTCACTATGTGAAAAAGGAAGAGATTGGCTCTGAAAAAAAAAATGGATGAAATAAGTACAGGTACATTAGAATTGAATTCTCTAATGAGTAAAGAATTTGTCAGAAATCATCCAGTTAACCAGAAGGAGTTAAAATTCTTGGATTTGATAAATTATACCTCAAGGTATACAGGAAACTTCTAAATGGCACTGTTGAGTCACTCTAGAGATACCTATAAAATCAGGAGGACCACACAGATATCAAAAAACTAGAAATGTAAACCTATTGTATTTTTTTAAAGGAGAACGAATCTTTTTTCAAAGCTTGGCTTTTAATAGTATTCAAAGAAAATATAAAAGAATCTTTTTACAATCTTTGAGAAGGAAAGAACTTTCTAACTATGATTCAAAATCTAGAAGCTATAAAATAAGCCTCAATGACATTTACAATATGAACATTTAAAATTTCACTTTGTCAAAAATTGGCGAAGTCAAAATACAAATAACAACTTAGGGTCAAAATACTTACAAATCACATTACAGACAAAAGACTAATTTCACTATATATAAAGGACTTCAAATCAATAAGAAAAAGATCAACCTATTAAGAGAAATGGACAAAGAATATGAACAAAAAGTTCACAGAAAGGAAAATTCAAGTATCTCTTAAGTTTATGAAAAGATACACAGCCTCATTCATGATAAAAGTACAATTAAGACTATAATAAAATATTTTTTTCCTTATCAGATAGGCAAAAATAAAAATTCTAATTAATATACCATATTGATGAGAATATGGTAGAAGATAGGCGCTCTCACACATATTTTTCTGATAGGAACACAATTTCTGATAGTGAGCAATTTGACCATATCTACCAAAATTATGTGATTCTTCGAAGATTTATTCTATAGAGACATGTGTTATGTACGAAAATAACATGTAGCAAGACTACACATTAGAGCATGGTTTGTAAGATAAAAAAAATCTAAATATCTACCAGAAGGTGAACTAAGATTTTTTTGCTATATTCAGACAATGGAGAATAATGCCACTCTTACACAGAACGAGGGTGCTCTACAGGTGCTGATATGGAACCATATGCAAAAAAAAAAAAAAATCAAGATTTAGATTTTAGATAAAACCACAGCTACTATTATATTTAATGGTGAATACTATTATATTTAATAGATGCTTCTCCCCTCACCATTCTATTCATCATTTGTATTGGGGTTCTAGTCAGGACAATCAGTCAAAGGTATGCAGACTGAAGAAAAAAGAGGTAAAACTATCTTTATTCACAGATTTATATTTAGAAAATTCTAAGGAATCCACTAAAAAGCTATCAGAACCAATAAACAAGTTCAGCAATGCTGCAGGATACAAGATCAATGTACGAAAATCAACTGGACTTCTATAAATTAACAATGAATAATCTCAAGGTTAAAATAGTAATTCCACTCATAATAGCATTGAAAATAAAATAAGAGTAAATTTAATAAATGAAGTGTAAAACTTATACTCTAAA